AGCATGTCGGTGACACAATGACTTCGGATGATCTTATAGGACTTAAAGACAGGGTTAGACCGTAAGACAACCCAATATTCAACGTGAAAATGGATAAAGTGACCGAAGAGCGTTTGCCCAATAGTGAGAACGAGGATGATGGCCAAGGTATGGGCAAATTTGTTCAGGCAGTATAAGGTACTATCATATTATTTCTTGAACTAGAATTATTATTATAGAGTTAAGAGGAAGACATCAGAAACACTATGCGACTTCAATTTTTTTCGAGGAAAATGTATGGAGCATAATGTGTCTTTCTCATCAACCATTTTTTCTTTACTCTGTATTTTTATGCATGTTGTTTGAGAAAGCCGAAGACACATGGCAGTCAGGGGCAGATGCACTAAGACCCCTAGGGGTCAAGTGCATCCTCATTATTTAGAAAAAAAAATAAAATTTAGTATTATATGTTAAAGAAAAATGAAAGAATTTTTTTTGCACTCCAATTATTTTTAAGAAAAGAAAATTAAAATTTTAGACTCCATTTATAAATTTTTGAATCTGCCATTGATAGAAGTATATACGTCATCACCGAGAAATTGAAATTGCATGGTATTCTTGATATCCTCCCTTGACGTTAATAATGACCATATATCAGAAAATAATATAGTGATAGCTTTATATGAGGGGAAGTCTCTTTTTTTTATTTCTATTGTCCGACATGAGCAAATTTCCCTCAAGCCATGTCTAGTGATGTTTTCATTAATATATTACTATTTTTTTTTAAACATATTAATTTATTATAATTAAATTAAATTAACTTCTCAATTTTTATGAAATAAAAAGATTCAATGCACAATCAACATATTAAAAAAATAATAGCACATGTAGCATCTATTACAATAAATTAAATAATTTAATAACAGTAATAAAGTCAAAAATTAATTAATATAAAAAAAAGTATCTGGTGTTCGTACAAGGTCCAAACACACATGTAAAATTAAAAAAAAAAACCTTCAAATCCCTATTAGGTATAAGCATGCACTACCCCACAAGAAAAGTAAGAACTGTTCGGTGGTAAGTCGGAACAAATACTAATACCTTACATTTAATACTATATAATAAATCATTCTATCACTTCACTTATATAATTCAGTCTATTCTCCTATAAATATATAATGTATCCGTCTAAATCTTAACCTAGGTCCTCGTCGGCTCCTTTTTCTAGTATCTTCAATGTAGAGTTTGAAAACAGAGGGAGGACTACCCTTTCCTCAAAAAACGCGTTTAGGTACAACGACTACCAAGCATAAGGAGATGCACAAGTCATCCTAAAGAAAGAAACAAATGAAAAAAACACGTGTTAGACGCTTGACAGATTTGAGAGGAAAACTCTATTAATTTAATTAGTTATTTCTTTTTTATTAGATTTAATTAGTTACTTCGAACATAATATTTATACTTAACCTATTTTCAAGCTATAATTTATAAAAGTGTTAATTAAATTAAAATTTAGTCGACTGATTTATTCATATGATGTTTTGGCCAATGGAAACTTTGGTTTAGTCAGGGTCAATGTGCCCCTCCCCTTTCAAAAGCGCGTTGCTTTTTTCTTTATTTCTTTATTTTCCATGATTTTAAGTGCCGTTCGGTGCCATGTGGAATGGTCATTGAAACGCAAGCAAAATTGCGTTTTACAAGGCTACTTTACCTATGTTGAAAATCCCATTATGTTCTCAAAAGTAGGCATTTTTTTAATAATATAAGGTTTTTTTATTTTTACAAAGAAATAAATTATGTATATTATTCATCAAAAAATTATACTATATTTATTAGATTATCTATGTAAAACTTTTTTAGTTTTACATCTTTTAAGACCGTTGGATTGAAGAAAAAAATAAAGATTAATTACTTATTTTTTTGTTAATACTTTCTCATTTTCTACTGTTAATATTAATATTTAATTTCTCTAATCTAATGATACTAAAAAGATGTAAAATTAAAAGAGTTTTCTAAAGTATAATTGTATCATGCCCCATGTTTTATATCCTAATACTTTTTTCTGCCAAAAATATTTCCGATTTCTTTTAAAATTTTGATAAATAATCCTTTCAGTTCTTATATTTGTTTGTTTAAAAGAACCAACTTCGAAGGAATTGTAATTTGAGATTCAGCACAGAAAAATATGCAATTGATAAATATTATCTTACCTCTCTTTGCGCTTTTCCAGAAATCTCTGCAGTGACTTCTTTCGAGCAATTGGCAAATCTGCATAAAAGTATCCACAAATACATGAAAATCTTTTGTATACGAATTCGGTAAGTTGAACATGAATATATATACACCCCCCCTGTGTGTTTACTTAAGGAAGAAAAGGCTAGAAAATGGAAAGGAAAAGCGGAAAACAGAAACTGACCTCCATTACTTGTTTCGAGAAGGTTTTGTTGGTCGCTCGAAGGATTTGAAACTTTTGATGAATCAGTCGATTCGACATTTTTGGAGCTTCCTTCAACCGCAAGTTTGAAAATACTCTCCGCCTAATAAAAAAATTCAATAACTCAATTTTTAACGCATTGGTTTTTAAAAACAAATCTATGGATGGATACTAGATTTAGACAATGATTGAAACGAACCTTGTCACGAGGAACATTGAACACAGAAACCGTTCCGTTGTAGAAAATCGTCAACGGAGCTGTTTCATGACCGTCCTCAGAAGAAGCTCTGAAGTTGAACAAAACGTTATCGTTTGATCGTTTGTACTTTAAGAAACCGTTTAGCGATAAAAATACGGAAAAATCGATTTACCTTGAGGCGGGATTCAGAATAGGTAAAGTACGAACCGGACTAGTCCGATCTTCTTTAGGAGTCGAAGGCACTGAAAACGACTTTCTCCAATCAACCGGACTCTGGTTGGTCGAACCGGAGGAAATCACAGACTTAATCAGCTCAGGATTCATCTTCGAAATGGCTCCTTGAATACCAGTTAAACATTAATCACCGTCGTTTTTCAATTTAAACACATTCATTCACTAAAAATCACCGATAATTTCAAAAAAATAAAAAACAAGAATCATTCACCGAATCAAACCATCGTAGTTTGCTCAAACACATTCAAATCCACACAAAAATTCACTAAAATTCGAGAAGAAAAAAATACCTCGGAAGCTCCGACGGCGATCGAGGAATTTCTGGAACTGAGATTTGCAGGAGTTCGCTTTCTCCATTCCAAAGAAATCAAACTCAACGGTAGCTCTCGACATTCTTGTTTGATTTTTTTTCTCAGAGAAAACTCTGCTTTTGTTTCTTTGTTTGGCTCCTGTTTGTTCCAACGAGAGAATTGAAGTGTATATAAATGGAGAGGCGAGGGGGCATTACACGAGATGCATGAGAAAGTATTAAAGGAGATTTGCTGAATTTATTAATAATTATTAAATAAATTAATATTTTGTTGGTAAAGCGTATAAGAAGTGTACAAGTCTCCCACGTGGAGTTTGTGTTACCAACAAATGAAGTAGGTCTAACTCTATGACCATAACAGTGTACATGAGTCTTTTTATTTCCTTTTCTTTTTGGGTTAATTTCCTCATATATCCTAAAACTTTATAACATTATAATTAAGTACTTAAAATATCATGATTTAGGGGCTACTTTTGCCATGTATTAGACCAAATTTATCATCTTAGTCCCATTGTTTTTTTCATCAATTTAGCCATCGAAGTTGTTTAGGGACAGTATTCTAGCCCTCGAAGTTTGTTGATTGTTTTGAATAATAGAACTGTGAGTCTTCCACATCTATCAATTGAAGGTTTGGTTAAAATATTTACTAAATACAATGGTTAAAATTTTTTCCAAAATTTTATTATTAATTTCAGTGAGATTAAAAGATTATATCAAGATTTTAGGGATTTTTTTTTCTATCTATGGTAAATATTTTAAATATTTTTATTATTATTTTAATAAGTTTCACGTCATCATCAAACCACATCAGTAATATCGACTTACATGGAAATTGATGTTGTCGACAAACGTAGAAGACTAATGGTCATGTTAGTCAAAACAAATTTCGAGGACTAGGATGATACCCCTAAACAACTTCGAAAGCTAAATTGATGCGAAAAAAATCATAAAACGAAAATGATAAATTAAATATACTATAAGGATTAAAGTAACCCTTAAACCAAATATCATTATTGCATCGATAATATACTTTTGTCAATCTAGTCCATAACTGAGTTAAATACTCCTAGTGTTGGATCTTTCCGCATGAAGTTTTTGAAATAAGAGTATAAGTTTGACATAAATTTAATTGAAATAATTATTTTATAGTGAATTTTTATAATATTCGATGTAAGTAACCAGTCAATGTTTAATAATTATTTTATATTGATGAATAATAAACAAGATTATGTTTCTTGTATTATGTTTAGCAGTTGACTTAGACTTGTGTAATGGGTGGGAGGAAGGGGAGCAGCAGACATTTACTTTGTAGCAAATTTGACATATATAATTCAAAGTGGGACTAGAAAAATGCAGTATCATTTTGGACTGTTCATATTATCCTTTATTTTGACAAATTCTCCTTTGCAAATTTGACAAATTCTACTTAGAAACCCACACATTTTACATGTGCTTAAATTAGATATGAAAATAAATAGTTAGAATATAATTATATACAAAATTAAAAAAAAACTTAATATATATATATATATATATTTAAAAACATAATCATAAGATGGCTTATATACACCAAGTACAATAATGAGACCCACGGGCTTAAATTTCAACAAACGAGTCACTTTTCCGGGCTTTAAGGTGAGCAAGCAGCCCTTTTAATAGAAGTATATTATTATGATATTATAAAAGAAGAATTATGTTATGTCAAATCAAAATATAGAGACTAAAACTCAAATTTAAACACAATAGAAGGGCTAAAATGGCAATTCGACCTCTCGTATACATCAATATTTGAAAGTAAACAGGTAAACAAACTTATTATAAGAAAAAGGTCTCAAAGAATGAAAACGTTTAATTGAGAAACAAAGCAATGACTAATAATATATGTTGCTCTATACAAAATATTATATGCAATTTGGTCCAAAATGTAAAAAAACCGAAGGTAAAAAATCATATAATCTCAATGTAGAAATGTTGTATAAATCTACAATCTAAACCTTATTTATTGGTGTATGGTACCATTGGCAGAAACTAAATGCGAGTATGTTGTGGGAAAATTTGATCCATCAATTCAACTTCTGAGCTACCATCTACTCGAACCAGGCATCGTAGTAATCGGTTTATGTACAAATGTATACCGATCACCTCCCGTTTATAACTTATCCGCAATCCTCCCTAGAGCATCGGCGAGCTTATTAAGAACAGCGACTAGGTTATCGCTGTGGTCTTTCCTTTGCTCCCTATCCTGTTGGAAGTTGATGTTTTGAGCTTCGAGTTGAGCAACCAGCATTTTACCATTCTTTTCCAAAACGTCGATCAAGTGGTACTGTGTGCTGCTTGTTTCCTCGTCTCCATCAGTCGTCATCCGTTTCCTCTTCCTTACTTCTTGAGAGGATGAACCGAACTCGGGATTCAAGGTAGGATTTCTCCTTTGTTGTACCTGCATGTCCAAGTCTGATTATTGGAACCTGGTATGCATTGCCATACAGGAACAAACTAATTCTACTACCGCTGGTGCAGTAATTTTTAGTAACCCTAATGAGTTTTGGTCTAAACCTTATCGGTTGCTTCACGAAACAACTAAGGCTTGTTCGAGAAACGGTTGAGTCTAGAACATGCCGATCAGCGACTTAGTAATCAAGCCAATAACAAGATATACTCCGGAAATATCTAGCCCGAAGAAAGTCAATTAGTCATAATGAAACTTAACAGAAAATCACCCAAGTGATTACTCAGAATACCAGAATAGAACATTAATACCTATTGTTAAAAACAAAGACAAAGCAAGAAATAGAAGTTATGTTGTCTGGATTCTTCATTTATTTATCCGAAGTATCCGTGTCCAGCACTTGAATACAATGACTTGATCTTCAAGACCCTCTATTTACAAGGAAAATTTTGATCATATTCATATTGGATACATATTCGTATCGTACACTCACACCTAATCCGAATAACGTAGCAGCAGAGCACTTGAACATAGGTAGGTTAAATCAATATTACCTTGACTGTTGTTCCCCGGAATAGATGGTTGTCGCGGTAACCGGTACTGCTGCTCTGTGAGCAAAACAAAACATTTATAAGCATTTAATGGATCAATGATAACCCTTTTCCACATTTTCAGTGAAAGATCCAAAGAAAAAGGAAAATGCACCAATCCCATACTCCTATTCCCAGAAGATTTATATATCCGATATCGGATAATCATATTGAGTTTCATACTCCTATTCCCTCCTGGCGAAGATTTCGATATACGATAATCATATTGAGTAAACTGTTTTCGAATCAAACCGAGTAGATTCAAACACTTGTATCAAAATTTTAGTTGACATTTGTGTACAATCGATTTGATTCCTGAAGAGCCCTACCCTTTCCCTCATAAAAATTTAAAGATTCCTGTTATAAAGAAGACGTAGAAAAAGGCTAAACGGAGTTGCCAACAGTGCTCAAACACCTCCATTAAAGCAAAGTTCTTTCTCTAAAAGAAAACCCATTTTAGAATTTGGAATTCCAATCAAATCATCATAAAATATGAAGAAACAAAAGCAAACAGAATCAACCAATGATTCAAATGTATCAGTAATGAGCAATTGCTAGTGATCAAAACTAGTATTAGTATGTGGTTTGAGAATATGATTACCTGATATAGGGATAGGAGCTGGAACGGCCTTTCCGGTGTCGGTGTCAAGCGCGGGCTCCACCTTTTCTGGGCTCCGACCACCGTCCTCCTGCTCGAAATCCGAAAACAGCCCGTCCTCAGCTGCCGCGCTCCTTCCGCTATCGAAAACAGTCTCGGGATCCTCCGCCACGTCATGCGCCGCGGAAGTAGGAGTCAAAGCTAAAGCTAAATCCGGAGCCATAACCGAGGAAGGGATTTCGGCGGCTGTGGCGGCTCCGTCGAGGATATCGTAAACTTCCTTATCGAAGAACCCCGGCAACTTCCGTTCCCTCCTCAAATCGTTCCTCATCACCCAAAACGACTCGTTCTCTTCCCTTGTGTTATTCTCCCATTCCTTGATCTTCTAAAATCCCCCGCCAAATTACTCCACCTCTTCCGACACTGGACCGGCCCCCGGTTCACTCCGTGCCGCTTGCAGTACGATGAAACCGAAGCCCACTTCGGCTCCACTTGACCCGTCCCGAAAGCCAATCCGGCAGCGCGCCCGCGCCTGACCCGATTCTCGGCCACTCTTTTCCCCTGTATCAGCACGAGAATCTCCTGCCTCGTCCATCGAGGTAGCCTCGGAGTCTTGCTAACGTCATCGCCGCAATCAGATGACATCGGACGGGGTTCTACGCCGTTAGTGACGGCGTCTCGCACCGTAGTCGCAGCCAAGCTTAACTGCTCCGAGGCCATAAAAATCGAATGGGAGAGTTGATAAATTTTCTCTCTCTTTTTTTTAATTCGAAAAACGCACGTGATAGTGAGAGTAACTAATAACGGGGTTTTTTAAGAGGAAAAAACCCCGTTACGCCGTTTACAGAAGAGAATCAGAGAGAAAGGAAGAAAGAACGACGAAGAAAATGAGAGGGATTTTCGGGAGATAGTTGTTTGATTGTTTTTAATTATTTTCTTTATTAAATATATTGGTGACATTGACCATTTAACCCTAATCAAGGTACAGTTAGAAATAATTAATTAGGGGTAATAGGTGTAATTGCATTTAATTATTAAAATAAGATTCTATAAGCTAAATTGCTGAGAAAGTCCCTATACTAAACAACTTTTACGTATATAGTCTGTACACTATAATTTATCCATTTTTAATTTCTTTATTTCCTAGGAGAGTAAGGCTCTAAGACTTTATGTGTTTAAGTTTGAAGTTCGTCCTATATAAATCATATATTTGCTATTATTTTTGAAGTTATTAAAACGTAAAAAACTTTGTAAATATTATATGTATATTGTCAATTTTCAAAAAAAAAATTAAGTCAAATTGATTTATTTTTTTTATTCTTCCGATTTTAGAGTTTTGTCTTGAATAATCTGAATTTCACACATTGGACTTTGATGGGTGAGTCTCCTAACGAAATTTTTTAATAAACAATTACTCGAATTCAAGACCGCTAAAGTGATATCAAACTGCTTACCACTTGATCTAGTCCCTTGATAATTAATTTAATTTTTAACTTTAAAGGTAAAAATATTTTTAAATCCATGAAAAACACTTCGTACATGGTAGGATTATTCATGGACACTTAACCGTATCGTTTAGCTTAAATGGTCGATTAACCGTTATAACGATTATAAGATTTTTTTAACAATAACCTAATCGTTAAGAAGTAATTAACCGTTAACAGTTAACTATTATTATCGGTTTTGTTACAGGTTAACTTATTACAATTATTTATAAAAAAAATTCATAATTCGTACTACAAAAAATAAAACATTTAATGCATACTTACACCAGTGCAAGTGAATATAATAAAAAGTGTGACAATTAACATATACTTACACCGATGTAAGTATATACATCTTCTAATATATTGATACCTAACATTAATATATATTAATTATTTGTTGTGTAAATTTTATTAAAAATATATATAAATATAATAGAAAATTATATTAAGTTATTGTTTAACAATAATAAATTATAAATTTAATTTATTAACAATTAATCAATCGTAACTTTAACCGTTAATCATTATTTTAAACGATTCGATTAATTAATCATTTAAATATAACAATTATAATTAACGGTTATGAATTTTTTTTAAATACCCCAGTTCGTGGACCTGTATTTGATTTGATCAATTTTTTTAATAAAGGGTATTGTAAATGGTTACCTACTGACAACAAAATCTTAAGGGGCAGTGTCGTATCTTATAAGAGAAAATAAAGACCTCAACCTCTAATTAAGGTCGTTTTCTTAAGCGTAAAATATGGCATTAAACGCGTCTTTTGGGCCACCTTAACCCTTAACCTTATTTATTCCTTCTCTTCTCATATCTTTTTCGTGTCTATTTTTCACGTATTTTGTCCCCCTTAAACCGAGTTTAAATTAAAGATGGGTATGGTCAAGTTATTTGATTTAGTATACTCAAATATGATTTAAATATTGTATTTTTTAATTATTTGATTTAGTCTAAGCTTGAAGATATTTTATTTAGACTAAAATTCGATTTAACTTTAGAATAAAAATTTGCATTCGATCTAACATAGATATGTATATATATAATTTATTTTTATTTGGTAAGATAAGACTCTAATTTAAAAAAATACGAGGTAGAGTATTATTATAATTAGGATAAAGTACACATTTTGTATCTAAATTATTAGTTTTGATCCGTTTTAGTAGTTAAACTTTTAAGTTTTTCAAAATCGTACTTAACGTTTAGTTTTTGTTTCTTTTTAGTACACGTTGTTAAAAATTTAACGCGTTTAGTACCTAACCTATCAGTTTGGTCCGTTTTAGTATGTAGACTTTCAAAAAATTTCAAAACTCAACGTTAAATTTTGGACGATGCACTAAAATGAAAAAAAAATTAGGTATGGTTAAAAAATTGAAAGCTTAAGTACTAAAACAGACCAAAACTGATCATTTAGCTACTAAACGTGTAACTTGCCCTTACAATTATTATTAAATATGTAAGAGATAATTACAATATTATATCGGGTTGGGTCTAGGACTTTTTTTTATCATAAATTCGAATTTGATGCAATCCGACTCCAAATTAAAAAAATATTATGCCTATTTAACTAGAAACCATCGAATTTGAATCTCATGCTCATATATGATAAAATCATTGAGAGTTATAATCGTTTTCAATATTAGATAAATTTATTTAAATATTGAAAATTAAATATATTTTTATAAAAAAAATCTATATAATTTACTTAATATTGGTTGTCTTATAGTTTTAAGGTTTCACATTGACTAATTTGGATCGACCCAAGTCGCACACTTAGTTTTTGTGGGTGAGTCTTCCAACAGAGATTTTCTACATACACAATGACTCGAACCTAAGACCTTGCTTAAGTGATATCAACTTACTTATCACTTTAACCAACCCAATTGTTTATTGTTATATATATATTAAATGTATATTATTTTTAATTTTGATGACAAGGGCACTCTATTGTGTCCAACCACCAAAGAAAAATTTCCCTATGGACTCACCTTTTCTTTGTGTCACTCTTCAATAATTTCACCCTAATCATCCTCACTTAATGGCTAATCCTAATTGATGGCCCCCTCCATTAAAGCCACTTTTGTTTAATTTTCCCTTATTATGTTGTTTGGTGTTTGGGGGGGGGGGGGGGAAGAAAGTTAAATAGGATTTGATTATATAATAAATTGATACTTATTAAATAAATATGATAATCAAATATTCGTGTGCCATATTGTCTATTAAATTTTTATTTATAAATTTGTAACCATAGAAATTCTGAGACTTAGAAATATGTCTCAACTGAAATCACTATTTGAAAAATTCTATAATTGAGTTTGAGAATATTATTTGATCATAGAATTTTAAATAAAGATTTAAATGAGAAAATATTATAATTAGACATTTAATTATTGTTTTTTATACAAAAATGTTTAGGTCAGGGGTGACTCCCTCATATACAAATTGTCCACTAAAATAACAATGGTAATATTCGAACTATGCCTCACAAACTCAAATTCCTGGATCTCAATCATTTGTGCCAACGCTCGTTAGTAGAGATGCAATTATTGTTTGATTAAATATAAATCTTATATTTAATGTATTAGTTTTTTTTTGTTTATAAAAAATTCTTTGAAAAAAGATTATAAAGGAGAGGCTTACTAACAAACAAGGATTTTGGAAGCTCATGTCCATGACCATTAGGGAGGGTGACTTTGGATTAGTTTAGAGGGGTTAGTACCATGTCACATTCTACATGTGAATGTCATACGAATTGAGGTGGGGACCAATTTGGCCCAAATTTTGGTGCGATTCTTAACTTTGAGGTTGTGGGATCGAGTCTCACGGATAACATTTCATAATTCGGATGTCTTCTACGGAAGCTGCTCACAACCTGATGTTGGGGGCAACCTACTATCTTACCTCCCTCTTACCCTATTACATATGGGAACAAGGGACAACCATTTTTTTACAAGATGAGGCATATTTTCCTGGGTAAACTACGCATTTAATATATAAACTATCGGTTTAAATTCGTTTTAATATCTAAGTTTTCGTTTTTTCCAAAATCATATATAATATTGAGTTTTCATTTCATTTTAGTACCCATCGATAAAAACTTAATTTGTTTAGTACTTAAACTATAAGTTTTGGTATGTTTTAGTACCTAAACTTTCAAAAAGAAATCAAAACTTAATGATAAATTTCGAATGGGTACTAAAATGAAACAAAAATTAAAGTTTTTAACAGCGAGACACTAAAATTAAATAAAAATTATACTTTAGGTATGGTTTTGAAGAAAAAAAGTTTAGGTACTAAAAAGGACCAAAATTGTTAGTTTAGATACTAAATGTGTAATTTATCCCATTTTCTTATTGATATATGGACCGATTTAATTTCGATAATATTGATTCTCTTTATATATTTTTTATAATACATAAAATCTAGTTTTTTTTTGAAACGATATAAATATAATTAAACATGTAAAGATAACTTCAACTAAAGTGATGTTGGACGAGACTTATATGTGACAACATTTAAAATAGATAGAATTTACACATAATTTTATAAAGGGTTAATTATACGGATGACCACTTATGTTTATGTTTTACCTACTTTTGGTCACTAATTTCAAAATACATAAGATGTGATCACCTTCGTTCTTATTTAATTAAGATGTTCTCACTTTTGTTTTTATTTATTTAAGATGTGGTCACCACGCGTTAACTGTCTGTCATAACCATTTTTTTTTAAAACTTTATCGATTATTTTTTTAAAACAATTATGACTTTAATTTGGAAAATTTGGTGATTTTGAATGGATTTGAATAAAATTGAAAAGAGTCGCCATCGACCTTTGGGTTAGGTAGGTCAAATACCTAAACGTCTTTTAAAAACAATTTTAAGAAAAATAATTTTTATAAGACAAAAATTTGGTCTACGTTACCAAAGATTCATTTAAAACAGGTTCGGGAGTCGGTTACGTGTGGGGAAGGGTAAACACCCCCACAACGCCCAAAATTGGTACTGTGTAGCTTACACATCGTCGTAAATGGTGGAAATTACAATTTGAATATGAAGTAAAAATATGATCTATTTATTGAATATTTGTTAAAATAATAGAAATACTTCACTTGGTAAGAAATCTCAAGATTTGCAATCCTCCAACGGGAAAGCTACCTCATCTATTTCTTATCTATAAAGTATATCCTATCTTTGAATTACCACTAAATAATATCGTCATGAGTAGAAAATAAAATATGCTTAATTTATGTATCGTTAATATTAACATAACAACCATTAATACAATAAAAATTATGAAAATAGAATAATAAATAAATTATGATCTATTTATTGAATATTAGTTAAAATAAATAAAAAAACCTTTTCTCGATAAGAAATCCCGAGATTTGCAATCCTCCGCCGGGAAAGCTACCTC